ACGCAAGAATCCCTGAGAATTGTCTCCCAGTATCTACTATCTAGGATGTAGTGCTGCACGATGTCTTCTGCGCAAAGCTCCCCTTTCACTGCGGCCCACCAGGCCCACCAGCGCCGGATGTCAGCTGAGGTGCAGCGCAGCGCGCCGCAAGCAAGGCCCAGTCTGGGAGCAGAAGGGAGCCTCCGAAGATCTCCTAGGCCGGAGTCAAGTGTTCGTGGTGGCAGAATAGAGACAGCCCTCACCAAATGAATCTCCTTTGGAGTTGACCTGCAAAAAAACAGATTGGGCGAGCAATCACTTTGCCAGGCGCCTCTGATTCTGACATGCTGCCAAGGATCCGGCCATTGCCCATTCCCGGCGGATGGGTGAAATAAGCGAATCTGGCGGGATCCGGTCCAAATGGGTTCAAGCATGGCCGGCATGGCCGGCATGGCCGGTGACCTGTGACTGCCTCATTTACGTCTTGCCGCTGAAAGGCAACATCTTTGAGTAGAGCGAGCTAAAAACCGCCCTGAATGTCGGAACGCCTGCCTGAACGTAGCAATGGTCAAAATTACAGTTGTTGCCCCCAAAAACAACATGCACATGTAAATGTCTTGTCGTCTTGGGAAAATTTGAGCCATGTCTCTCGACTGGAAACTCTGCGACTCTGATCTCTGCCTCTGGCGCGGCCGGCCCAATGCTTCTGCTCTGCTCCGACTGCGTCATCTCCATGGCGGACGCGCGGCTTGAGCAACACGCCTGCAGGCCATCTCTGGGCAAAGGGTCAGGATGTGGGTTTGTCTTTTGGAGGGCTATTTCTTTTATGTGGCTTTAAATCGAATCGAAGAGGACAGTACCATTTTTACGGTGAGGGGGGCTCCTTAAACAACGACGCCATGTCCGAACCAATCCAAGCTGAGGCTCACGCTTTCTTGCCTACTCGGATAGAGGCCTTGAAGCCCGTCCCGGATGTGAGGCGGGTTTTGCCAGACCAATCCAAGGAGCAAGGAAACCAAACCACAAATACCTTGTTTGGATTTTGGCAAGTCCTAGCATTTCGATTGACTGCGAAACCCGGGTTGAGTAAAGCATGCTGGCCAGTGTACCATGGCCACAACACCTCTTTGCACAAAACAAACTTGAAATGAGGCAGTGGTCCCTTCCATATCCGACTGCAGCTTCGACGAGGAGACTGCCGCAGCAACACAAAACTGTATTAACAGGGTCCCCCACACTTCCTTTTCAACATCACCGAAACAAAAGGACACTTTGAATAAGCCCCACACGTAGTTTGAAACCGCGAGAAGGAGAATCTGGGGAACCCTGCGTAACCTTGCAGAGTCCCTCCAGCTCGATTTGCACGCGTCACTTGAAGCCTTGAGCTGTTGACCGTTCGATGCAGCCGACAGCAAGATGGAACGCAGAGTAAATCTTAGCGTTGAGAGCCTGGTCCACTAAACCATTCTTGCACCTCTCATGGCCCCAATGCTTGTGCCTGCAAACTGCTAGATACAACTTGGTGAGCAACATGCCTCTGACGAGCTAAACATGATGCCACTAGCCCACCCAAGCTTACGCTTGAGATTGGGCATGTCGCATTCGTCTATGAGTCAAATGTCAATGTGCCAAGTGTGCTAGAAAGCCACTATTTGTACTGGAGAAATTCTGACTAAACTCGGAAGCTCAGGTGGCAAGCGTTCCAGCGTTGGCACCAACGCATGCACCAAGCATGGCGCTCCGTTGCATTTTACGCAAAGCACTGAGCTCTTACAGTCCACTTGGACATGTGTGTGTGTGTGTGTGTTTGCTTATGCTTGTGTTTGTGCATGTCTCTGTGTTTGTGCGCTTGCTTGTTTGTTTGTTTGTTTGATTGATTGATTATCTGTCTGTCTGTCTGTCTGTCTGTCTGTTTGTCTGTGTCTGTCTGTCAGTCAGTCTGTCAGTCAGTCTGTCAGTCAGTCTGTCAGTCAGTCTGTCTGCCTCTGTCTGTCTCTGTCTGTCTCTGTCTGTCTGTCTGCCTGTCTCTGTCTGTCTGGTTGGTTGGTTGGTTGGTTTTTGTTCTCAGTTTGTCTGTCTGTTTGCTTGTTTTTTTGCTTGCTTGCTCGCTTGTCGCGTGCTTGCTTTTTCGCTTGTTTGTTTGTTTGTTTGTTTGTTTGTTTGTTCGTTCGTTCGTTCGTTTGCTTGCTTCTGTGTGTGTGCTTGTGTGCGTGTGTGTTTGTGTGTGCCAGTTTGTGCGTGCGTGCGTCCGTATTTGTGCGTGTTGCGTGTTTGAGTGTTTGAGTGTTTGAGTGTCACTGCTTGTGTCTGTGCGTTGTGAGCTTGTCTGGCTATGCGGCTGTGTGGTGGTATCCTGATGCTGCGTTGAGGACTTGAGGCCGTGAAGGCCCCTAGAATGATTTGGCTGAGTTGTCACCCTTGACATCCACCCCACTATCCCTAACAACCTGCCTCCGACTCCGTACGCCAGTCACGACCAGAGCTATCTTGCTCATTGGGCAAGCCAATCAAGCATGGCAAGCGCAAGCCAACATTGCCTTGAGCTACCAGACTTCCTTTCGTGAGCTGGAATTGGCTGGAAGCCGGAACTTGCACTCTTGTTCGAGTAATCGAGTATGACATCTCTGACCCTTGCCTTCTACTTTCTGCCAAATCTTTCCCCTCTGGCGCCTCATCACGGGGACCATCAGCTGGCACAGGCTCCTGAATGCTCTGGCAGCTTGGGGCATCCAGCTCGAAATTTCAATACAAAGCTGATGTTGCTACCAGACTCATCTGCAAAGGAACAAATGGCCACTTTCTCTCAACATTCCTTGAAAGAACACTTCCCAATGCTTAGTGCTTCCTCATCCGTAACACCGACAACCTACAAGATTGATGCTGGACGAACAGCTTTGTAATGGCCTGCCCTTCTTTGTAATGTCCTGGCAAATGCAGGGACTTACAAAGCGTGAAGGCTTCCACCCCAATACCCGAAAAAATCGCCTTTTACACTCTCAGGTCTGGGCTCGGCACAAACGCAGTTCCGAAGGGTCAACCGTCAGATCATCTTCTGCACATAGGTGTCCTTTTAGGGGGCAAACCAGGGCCATCTATTTTCCCTTCCACAACTTGCACAACTCGGGTGCGCTGGAATGGGCTGGCAGCTGTCCAACCGTGAAGTTGTTTGACCTCGTCCAAACACTCACGGCCTCATCAATGGGGCTATTATCTGGCACAGGCTCCTGCAGGGCACTGCTCAGTCCTCCTCGAGCAACCGCGCGATCTCCGGAAGGCTACTTGCGCAAATCGAACCTGCCCCAGCGGCAAAGGGTGCGTCGGGCACCCCGGCGCACTCACGCGGTGGATCCCTCCGAGCCTGGCGAGTCTTGCGAGTCTTTGCCTCGGCAGGCTTTCGCCTGCGCCTCTGCCTCAAGGTGAAACTGGGGTGAAACTGGCTGGCTCAAGGCTCAAAAGCACTGCTCCACCGTGGCTTCAGAAGCTGCGCGTGATCCGGCCTCGGATTCGTGGGCGTCTTCAAGCTGCTGTGCTGGTGACACCAATTCGCTGTGCGAACCGGAACCAACACTACGAAGAATCGAAGATGACCTGGACAGCACCCGCCTGTTGTGCTTCAGCCATTTGCTTTCACTTTCCAAAGGCAAAATCTCCAATGACAGCATGGTGATACATGACAGCACCAACCTGCTATCGAAAGGAGATAGAGCAGCAAGCCTCTCTTCCAGAATTCCACTATCGATAGCTGTGATCTTGTCAGCCATCAGTAACAGCAGGCGAGTCAAAGCCTCGTGGTCTGGCAGCATCCCAAGATTGATAAATGCATAGCGCCTTTCCCTTCGTCGCAGACTGAAGGCAAGTCCAGCAGCGAATGCTGCAAACAAGGAAGCGCCCAGAAAGAGAACTGCGAACGCCAATGCCAATAAAGTGCTGATGGAGGAGAAATCCGTGCTCTCGGAATCTGACGCGGGTATATACAAAGACCCGCAGAGCACCAATATTAGAATCGACCATATGCAGGCACTTTCCAGCGCATTGAGCAGGGGAAGTTTGAACGGCCAAACCAACAATAGAACAACCAAATAGGAGATCATGGCCATGGCGATCAATATGATTTGAACGTGCGGCTCATCGGTAAACACGGCGATCAGGAGAGAGAGCACCGGGCCTCTGAAGAGAACGGCCAAACCAAACCACCAGGCATCAGCACGAAATTGGTCAGTCAGGAACTGCGAGGCGATGATCGGATATTCTCGTCCTTCCAAACTCCATCGAGGCAGCTTCAACAATACCCAGCCACAAAGCGATAGAAATGCAAGCACCAGGACCCCCAAAACCAAACTGCAGCAAGTCATGGCAATGTGTTCATCGGAACTGCAAAGGATGCTTGCGAACTGCAAGTTGCTGTGGCTTCCGTTGGGATGCCTGTAGCACATCCATGGAACCAAGGACATGTTGCTCAGCGCCTCAAAGCACATCATGACGAACTGCCCCACGATCAACAGAAGGTGCGGCCCCTTCACTGCAAGGCGCTGCAGCTTCCGACATTGCACACACATGACAGACAAACACATGTGAACACAAGACACCCAGGTCAACATCACGGGCACGAAGCTTACCTGCAAAGCGTACTGCACCAAGGGATCGGTGCCAACGAGGCATGTGAAACCCAGCTCGTGGATGTTGAAGGCAAAGACATCCAGGAAGGAGAAGGACCATGCCAAAGAATCTGGCCAATTCGATTGCATTTGGTGCACAATGCCCATGCTTTGAAGCAAGTTCAGCCCAATCTCAACGATGCAGAGGATCGTGAAAGCCAAGGTGGATCCAGTGGGAGAGCTGATCTTCAGCTCGGCAAAGCGGCTGAAGGGCACAAAAGCCAGGCCGACACACAAAACGAGGATCCAGGCAGCCCGGACCCAAGCTGGGCACGTCTGGCACTCATCGTCCTTCCAATATTCGTCGGGACGGCATGTGGAACAAGCAATCGAAATCCGACCGCCTCCGCAGGTTCCAGGAGGACCACCAGGGCAATGCACATCCGAGTTGCACTTGAAGACTGACAAAGGTGCTTCCGGCAAGCTCATGAAACCTTCTTGAAGTTGAGGAAGGAAATCTTCGCCAAGGTCAGAATTGCCGGTCCTCAAGCTCCCTTCTGTTGAGAATATCGGGCAAGTCATGCCATTTTGGCACACGTCGCAGACCGGAACTGCTGTGGACGCATCTCTGGCTGTCTCAATGTATCCTTCCCTGCAACCGCACTCCAGCTGAGATAGTGCACCTCGACCCACCGTTTTTGTTCCTTCTGAGCACTCCTTGCATTCTGTCGATCCCAGTTGATCTTGATAGAAGCCGATGCCGCAACGCTTGCAGCTGTTGCCTTCGAGTTGATCTTGATACTCACCTGCAGGGCACAGTTCGCACCTCCGGGCAGCGCCATAAGCTTGATATGTGCCAGCAGAACATGGCGAGCAAATATAAGTGACTCCTGCGCTGTCAAAGATCTCCTCAGAGAATCGTCCCGATGCACACGGGAGACACGAGAGATCCAGCTTCTGGGTCCGGCTGCTCACATATTGAGAGGCATTGCTGCTATAGAGACCAAAGCTGGGAAGGCACACAGTCTCATCTGGGATCCACCCCAGCCATACATCTCGATTGGATAACATCCACCGGCAAGCCACATCTTTCCAGTCATCCCCAGTGCTGGCTTGGCTAGATAAAAGTTCATCGACAAGAGAGTTCGGAAATCTCAATTGATCCATCAATTTTGCAATCCGAGGCGCTAACTGCACCAAATTCCAGCTAATAAATGTCTGGTGCACATCACCTGATCGAAACATTGTCCTGTAGTCCTTCTGCGACCACGCAAGCTCATCATGAGGAGGGAACTCAATGGGCACCGGCCGCAGCGGAAGAAGAATCGTTTCCCCCGGCGACAGCCGAAAATATGCGATGCTGTAGGACAAGGGAAGGGTGATACCTGGAGTGTCAACCATATGCTGGTTCACTGCAAATGGCATGCTGTACGCGGCCGCCTTTTGCAAGGTCTGCAGAACTGCACGAGGCTGTTTTGCGGTCATCATCGGAACGCAGCGGGAATGATTCGATCGACATGCAGGAGTAATAAACCAAAATCCATCCAAACATCTGCCCGTTTTGTTGGGATGAAGGCCCTCATTGTCCCCTGAAATGGCCACATACTGTGTCATGATTCCAGCATTTCCAATCCAGCTGTCTTGGCACAGTGTCAATTCTGACGTTGGGATGGAAGTGAAGCTGTCAAAGTACTTGGCGGGATCATGCCACGAAGCGTTCCAATTTTGATACCAGCCCAGGGAAGTTCCATCCGCAAGGGCTGCATCTTGAACCGCTCCCGGCATCCAAATGGTTGAAAAGGCCTGCAAACCCATCGGTAGTCCTTTAGGAGCTCTGCTCTTCAAAATGGGCAAGTAGAGTGCCATGTCAATGACCACGGCAAGTGCAATATGGAATCGAGGATGCTCTTCATCACAGCCGAGGAGATTGGCAGGATCTGTGCAACCAGCCAAAGCTGCCGCTGCTTGCGATCCCGCAAGGAGGTTGGAGCCTACCAGGTTGTAGCCATAGATCTCCTCCAACAAAATCCAAAGAATGGCGGAAGTACTTTGCGGAACTGGCTGAAAGGTGGCACCAAAACTGATTCCCAGCGGATATGACTGTCCCGCTGAGTTGGTCAAGTTCACGCGATTGCTGGCTGGAATTGCATCTGGCAGGCAGCTAGCATCGGAGAAAACTGTCCCGGCAAGAAACACTTTAGCCAGCGTCCTAACATTGGGGAAACCTAGCCATGGACACAGCATACCTCACCGGAGCCGGGAGGCTGCGAAGCATCGAGATTGTGACCCAGGAAGTTCCATCCCCCAGGTGCCGGAAGCCTTCTCAGGCTCCAGAATCCTAGCATGGGATTGCACAAGAAGCAAGCTGCCCGGCCCAGCTTTCCGACAAGTAGGAAACCAGAGGGGAAACATTGAGAGATACAAGCCACAAGACAACTGCCGCACCAAGTTGACTTCCCTGGCCTATGGCTCAAAGCTCGCCGAAGAGCGCCCCCCTTGCCGCCGCACGCGTCACCTGGCTCACAGACCCTTGCTTGCTGGCTGGCTTGCTGGCTTAAAAGGAACCTTTTAAAAATGAAGGAAGATAAAGTCCTGGAAATTGTATGCTGAAAATCTATCATATCCCAGATCCAGTACGAATGATGAATATGTAGAAATCAAGGGGTACAGAAAGACACAAACAATGACACTGATGGTGGAAAAATGAATGCCGAAGGAAAATAAATAATCCAAAAAGAAACGCATTTCTATTTCTAATTTATTTTTGCAGTCCGCATCTTGGAAGTGCTCCCTGGTCAAGATTATCAGTTACATGATTTGCGGGCAAAAGAAAGTTGCATTCATGCTAAAAAGCATGTCGTTGTATCTATCTCCTTATCAATGTAACATTCCTCTTATGAAGATTAACCGGTTCTGGAAATGAACGTTTTTTTCATTTAAACAAGGAAAACCCTTTGTATATCTCAATATGTTTCTTTATGTGGTCTATCTCCATGCTGTTGGGGAAGGAATGAACGAAGAGATACAGGAACAGAAAGAATGAGAGACACATGAAGGCAGATCCCTTCCCTGCATTGGGTGAGAAAGGGAGAAGGAAGGATGAGGACAAGGTCATCCTCCAAAATGAATCTGCTGGCGCGGGCAAACCCTTCAAATCCAACATGTAACCAAGATAAAGATAATGATGAACGGGGATTCGAGCGAAGAGAGAAGTAACGTGACATTTCTCTTTCTCGTTCCTTAGGACCCACCGCCGTGATAACGAGAAGGCATCGGAAAAGACTGCAAAAGAGATAGACGTTTACAAGCAAGAACTACAATGATAGACAGAGACGGACATGTTTCTTTGGCATTTCTTTTTCGTGTCATTTGTATGGTTCTATTCTACCTGAGGTTGTATAAACACCTCGGTGTTATTAGAGATAGTTGTCTGGGAGTATCGTTTTTAACCCCCTTATCGCTTTGCAGTGCTTTGAGCTTTCTGCAATTTCAACCTCGAAATCGCGACCTTTTAGTACAAGCGTAGTACAGGAAGTCCAGTCGAAACTCGCAACTTTTCAGTACAAGCGTAGTACACAAAGTACAATTTGGCAGCATGATCTCGAAAGTCGTTACTTTTCAGTACAAGCGTAGTACACAAAGTACAATTTGGCAGCATGATCTCGAAAGTCGTAACCTTTCAGTACAAGCGTAGTTCGAGAAGTACACTTTGACAGCAAAAGACAATCGATGTGCAAAACGTTGGCGTGTTTGTTCTCGTTTTGTTCTCGTTTTTGGTCAGCTCCCAGTTTGCTGCCCAACAAGCTGACAAAAGATCGGCATCGTTCTTTTAAGTCCATCTCGTTTTGCAGTGAGCCGTGCCAGTTTTGGCCTCAGAATACTAAACCTGGACCGTTTTTGGGGAAACCTCACCTGATTCTTTTTGTTGTCCGCCGGGTAGCCAATGCCCAGCTCGTCCCATCCTTTGGGATGAAAGCCTCACACAGAAGACTGAAAGGGGGATGGATTCTAAGAGTCGTACTATTCCTCGCCCAAGAGATAGGTGTCAGAGCTCCTCCATAAATAATAATTCTGTATCTGTAGGAGCTCTCACATTCTCTTTTACTTCTTGTAATTACCTTCGGGACTTGAACCACCATAACGAGTGGCAGAACCAAGAGGAAAATAAAGAAATGGACCCTTTCAACATGGTCAACGCAAAAGCCATCAGGCAGGGCCTGGCATCCGTGCAAGGAAATTTGAAGGGCCTGAGGCCCGGTTGACCGGGCCGCTTCCACGTGTGCCCGCCTCTCGCTCCGCGGTGAGGCCTGGACGCACGAGCCACCGTGCCGCATCTGTGGCTGGAAATCAAGGAAACCAGCGCGCGCCAGATCTAAGCCCAGGTTTGAGATGGTTTGGCATTTCACCACTGTTCAAATACAGGAACTCGGAATGGGCATGTTTCGGGGCTGTGAAAACTCAATGTGATTGAATATGGAGCCGGATGCAGTCCTGAGGATGTCGACATGCGCCAGGATCTCCACGCCAGAAACCCCCGTCCGAGAGCCTTGGCCGAGCCCATGGGAGCAGCAGTGCTGAGCGCTGACTGCATCGATGCAAGGTCCAGATTCATAAGTTTCATAAGGATCCACCCGAAAACTTGCATGAGCCATGTATCACCGAATGTGCCCATGTTCGCCCTCAAGGCCTCTAGGCCAACTCGCACTCCATCCGGCACTCTAATTTTGCACGATCGGCTCACCACGGAATGCTTTCGCGCAAGGCAAACTGGAAATGATGCAACTATCCGAACGCAGCCTTGACAAGGAGACTGCAGCCGAAGCACAAACTGTATCAGACTGTTGCGTGTAACAGGGTCCCCCACATTTCCGCTTTATGCACCGCCCCAAAAGTAGACTCACTCTGATTTCGCCCAACGAAAAACTTGTTTGAAACCTTCAAAGGAAAAATATGGGGAACCCGGAGTACCCTAGGCAGAAGCGTCACACTTCCAGGAAGGGGAATACAGATCGGCAGCAAGCAGTGTGATGCACATGTGGCACACACAGGCCTGCAGCATCAAACCCTCATCCCATAGCTTGCCGGGCGCTGCCCAACAAAAACTTTGCTGGCCTTGCATTGTGCCAAGTACCAGCCGAATTCGGTATCTTGTCTTGCTACAACTATAAGCATAACCCATTCGCTATAACTATCCATGTTGGGCACTTAGTAAAGCAAATGTAAATCCATAGTCACGAACCACTTTCTTTGCTCTGGCTCACAGGACGCAGGGGCCGGACACGGCCAGGACGCTAACCTCCTCGGAGGTGTGCCCGCGCTCTGTGTCGCAGGCCACGTCCTCGTCGATGACGGCGTCCACGGAGGACGGGGTCACCGCCAGCAGGCGCGCCCAGCCGCCGTCGCTGCCCCAACGCTTGGACTGACTTGCCACCGCCAACGGCACCACGCCAAAGTCGGTGCCCAGAGGCACCGTGACCGCGCCGTTGCCCCAGCCCCGCACCACGCGCTCGGACTTCAGCGCCGTGAGCTGGATGCTGACACCTGAGCTCGGCATCCCCAACGGACAGATCGGCATGCGCATGCAGGCGCTATTATGCTGACAAGGCCAAGGGGCCGGTCAAGGACAGCACGCTTTGTGTGCCCTGCTCAAGCGCCACCCAGCCCACTTCCTCGTCCTGGCTCACCTCCAAGCCGCCGTAGCTGGAAGTTTCCGCCATGTCCAAAGCCACCTCGGCCGAAACGAAAGGCGTCACGGCATCAGGGGCATCACAGTCTGCCACAAACCGTGGCTCCATGACGGCACTGAGGCCCCAGCCCAGGCTTCGTTCACTTTGATGCCATTCACACCCACCTTGGCTCGTTCCAATTCCAACCTATCTGACCTGCAGCCACCCTCACAAGGACGAAACTACACCGCGCCAGCACCAAACACGCCTTGCAAGCCGCCAGCCAGCGTGAGTCACATCTCACCCGTTGAATTTTGGTCGAGGTGCCGTGAACCAGGGCTGCGAGCTGGAAGGCAGGCCCACCTCGTTGTTGAGGCTCTGGACGCTGGTGAGCAAGGCGGGCTCTGTCGCGAAGACGTGGCCGAAGCTCACCTTCTGCCAGCTCGTGGTGAAGCCTTCTGGCTTGCAGTTCGTGGCCATCAGCCTGCGCGTGCTCTGACGCCCGGCTTCCAGCCAAAGCCCACCTCAGCGTGGGGCGTATGTTGGGTGGCACCCCCCCAACCCCCGACCCCCCCCATCAATCGGTCACTCCGTCACTCGCTCCCCCTGCCTGGGAGTTGGCGGGCACCTGGCAAAACGGCCAGGAAGGTGACGGTCATGGTCTCCTGGGTGGTCGGCGTGTTGGGCGGCTTGGCGATGATGGCCGAGAAACCGTCGACGCTGATGTCCTTAATCCGAATGGCTGCTGGATCTTGGCTGCCGGTGCTGGAAGTGGTAGGAGACATCACCACCACCGGCACCTCGGCGAACGGCAAGGTAAAGGCGACATTGACCCACTGGTTGCTCACGGTGACCTCGCGCACCTCCAGAGTGACCACGCCTGCTGGCGCCAAGGTCGTCGTTGTGGTGGTGGGTGCCGGGGGTGGAATGGACAGCGGCCCTGACCAGGCCAGGAGCCCTACCTGCTCAGAGACATGCTTGCGCTCGGAGTCGCAGTAGGTGTCTTCGTCGATGAAGAGGGTGGCCGTGGTGCTGGAGCGCGCGGCCATGCGAAGCCAGCCGCCATTGTTGCCCTTGCGCGAGGCCTGCCCCCCAACCACCAAGGGCGTCGATCCGAGGTCCGCCTGCAAGCTCACCTCAGTGAAGCCGTCGTCGAAGCCCTTAATCTCCAAGCCCGTGAGGAGCGCGCTATAGCTCACCTGACCGGCGCCGCTTGCGAAGGATCCTTGGCCAGGCTCCATGGCCACGTAGCCCACAGTCTCCGGCTGCGCAATGTCCCCCACCTTCGAGGTCTCAGCCATTTCCAGGGCCACGCTGACGTCGGCAGATGTCAGCGAGGTGACCGCCACAGTGAGCCAAGGCGTGGAGTAGTGCGTCGGCACGGCCCCCGCCTCGTTGTGGGCCGTCTGCACCTTGGCCACGAAGGCGGGCGCCGAGCTGAAGGCCGCGGAGAACGTCACGGGCTCCCAGGCCGCTGCGGGCGCGCCCACGCAGACCGTGCCCTTCTGAAGCTTCGCGGTGTCCACCCGGCCCGCCTCGAAGCGGCGCCCGTCCGGCAGAGTGTGGACCCCGGCCTTGGCCGCCAGGTATGGCACAGACAGCGCAGAGTAATTGCCGCCTTGGCCCACCGGTACCGCCACCAGAGCCTCAAAGCCAGTCCCGGTGATCTGCCGCAGCCGCACGTCCGCCGGCTCGCCTTGCCCGAGAGTCAGCGCCACCACTACCGGCGCCTCCTGGAAAGCGTTCTGGAAGGAGAAGCTCTGCCAGCCACCCATGCCTATGCTTGGATTTCAACAAGAAACCAACATCAGGGCACAACATATTCTGCAGCCAAGCGCCTGATACACTGATCTCCCCGACTTCCAATATCATGTCGCCTGCACTGCTGCTGGTCGTGCTCCCAGTTCCCGTCGTCGTTGTCGCAAGAGTGGTTGTGGTTGTGGTTGTGGTGGTGGTCGTGGTGGTGGTGGTGGTGGTGGTGGTGGTGGTGGTGGTGGTGGTGGTGGTGGTGGTGGTGGTGGTGGTGGTGGTGGTGGTGGTGGGGGCGGCGGTGGTGGTGGTGGTGGTCGTCGTCGTCGTGGTGGTGGTGGTCGTGGTGGTGGTGGTCGTGGTGGGGGTGGTGGTTGTGGTCGTGGTCGTGGTCGTGGTAGTAGTGGTGGTGGCGGAGGAGCTGGTGGACAGAGGGGGCAGGTCCACAGGGCCCGACCACGCAATGAGACTCACGGTCTCTGCTGTATGTGATTGTTCCGTGTCGCAGTATGTGTCTTCCTCGAAAAAGACCATGGCTGAGGAGGAAGCAACGCTTGCCAGACGCAGCCAGCCTCCATCGCCTCCATTGCGTGTGCTCTGGCCTCCCAACACCAGCGGGGAAGACATCAGGTCGGTGAACGACAGCTGAGTGATGCCATTGTCGAAGCCGGAGACGGAGCCCTGCACCATGCTGTAGCTGACGCCCGAGAAGCTGCCGTCGCCCATCTCCATGGCGAAGTATCCCACGGTCTCCACCTGCGTAACCGAGCCCACTATGGAGGTCTCTGCTGACTCCAGCGCCACGTCGGCCGAGGACCCCGTCACGGAGCTAGCCGCCGCCACCAGAAACGGGAAAGAAAAGGAGGTGTCGACGTTGCCCTTCTCGTTGTTGGCGCTCTGGATGGTGGCCATAAACGCGGGGGAGGATCCGAAACTGGTCCAGAAGGGCACGCTCGTCCAGGAGTTGGAGATCCCACCGCCTTGGCAGCCACTGGCGACCTGCCGCGCCATGGTGTCCACACGCCCCGCCTCAAACTTGCGGCCATCTGGCAGCTGGTGCGCGCCTGCCGCCACCGCCATGTAGGTCACAGTCATGGCAGGGTGCCCACCTGTGGTCCAAACCCTATCCCGCAATTGGACATCTTCTCATGTTCATGACATTTCATGACCTTCCCCACCAAGTATTGTGATTGAATTCAGAAAGCTTATGGCCTTCCCCAATTGGGCCAGTGACAAACCCAGTCCCAAGTGTTTGGACTGTCACCTGGGCTGCCCGTCTGGGCCGGGGGCACCGCCACCAACGCCTCGAAGCCGGACGTCGTCACCTGCCGGACCCTCACCGTGGCCGGCGCACCCTGCCCGGACGGCACCACCAGCACCACCGGCGCTGCCTCGAAGGTGCTCCGCAGCGAGAAGCTCTGCCAGCCCTGGCCTGGGGGCTTGAGTTGTTCGATACCCTTTTTGGGCTGGCTTTAAAAGGGAGAAGGAAATCACCGTTGTGTTGGGGCGAACGCCCAGACACCCACGGCAACTCACAGCCAAGCACACACACAGACACACGCACGCACGTGCAAGCACATGCAAGCACCTGCACGCACCTTGGCAACGCACCTGCCAACGAACGGGGAGGCGTGCGCAATACAACCAAAACGTGGGCAGCGAAAGTCTGCTCAAGAACATTGCGCTCTGGATTCATTCCCGCCTGTGACCGAAATCTCCCCAATCTCCAGAACGGGCCCAGTTACCTGAGAGCATGATCTGCTCGCCGGGCTGCGGAACGCCATGTTGTCTCTTCGTTCAAGTGGATGCTTTTGTTGCTCCACAAGCTGGCAATGAGGCTCTGTGCCCACCAGACAAGTTACCCTGCTATTTGGAATGTCAAATTTGGACCACTATGCACTCAGGTGCTGCTGGCCATGATCAGACGGCAGCCTTTGGGTTGGATTCGAGCTCTCCCCAGAAGCCACTCTCTGTGAGTCGATTGCAAGCAAGTGATTTCATGAACATATTCAACACGCGGGCGCTTTATTTCACACTGTTTCGTTTGTTCAAGGCAATCGCTCCGCCTGTACGCTCATGAAAAAACCGTAGCAAAGCAGCTTCGATGGCACAAGCTGGGCTACGCATCTCAATCAGGTTCGTTCAAGCAACATGTTGTACCAGGCCGCTTCGGGAAGCTTGGGAAATCACAAGAGATATCCTATCAACACAGTTGCTTGCCCCCAGGGGTCCTAGGGGCGTGAAGCGATGGCCACGCTACATGCCAAGCCTGCTCGTTCCATATTGAGGCTGCATTTCTTTGGTACTAAGCAAAGGTGCCTGGTTGAGACTTGGAACTGCCAACAGCTTATGCCTTCGTGTTGGCCAGTTGCTGTCAAGGTGTTACCCCGCGGAAAGCCTCTCTGTTCGGCGTGTGCACAGCGCTGGAAACCTGGGCCATGCTGCAGGTGGAGGTGGGGCACGGGTGGTCGTCGTGGTGGTCGTAGTAGTGGTGGTGGTGGTCGTGGTGGTGGTCGTTGTTCCACCTACAAGCCTTGCAGAGCGCTTGAGGGAAAAGGCGCTTGGCTAGCTTCAACTCAGGGACACATCCAAGACAATTGATCATGACACTTGATGATGACACTACATCTCTTCTCAATACTTTGAAACGCACTGCGAAATGGCAAGCATCGCAAAGGACTCTCAACACCCGCCGGCATGAATCAAATGCGGGGCACACACACACACACACACACGCACGGAGAACAATTCCCACCCCCTTGCCTGCAACGATAAGTATCCAAGGCCTGTTTAATGTCGCCCTCGGAGAGAGCTTTGCGATTTCCCACGAGGTTGACAGCGGATGCGGGAACGGTGTTGAAGTAGTAGCCTTGCCAGGCTCAAGCCAGCCTCAAGCCTCTGAATGCGCACCAAGTACGAGGTACCCGGACGCTAGCCTCTTTCCAGTCATGGACGTGCACGAAAGGCTGTTGGAAGACCAGCATCATCTTGAAAGGCCCCCGGTCCACTACCCTGATTCTTGGGAGAGGGTCAATGATGCCAAGGTGCCGTTATTGATTGTGCGATTGCTGCTCCTCTGGCGGTAGTAGTGCATGATGCTTTCCTTTTGCAGGCCGATCACGGCAAATCGTCACAGTCAAAGTTGATAGCTTTACACAAATGCTGCTACGCCTGACACCACAAGCGACCCTCAAGTGCGAAAGTGTTGGAATGGAACATCTCTCTGCCAGTCCCGAACTTGCACTGCCTAAACCGCCGAACTCACCAAGCTTCAAAGTCGTAGGCAGCATAGCCCACCTGAACATCTCCCGCGCCATCATCCGCAGAGCCAATGTAGGACTTTTCTGCCGGGGTGTATTGGGATGCCCAGGTGCCAGTGTTCTCCCAAAACATCTGCAGATGCGGGCCCTTGCCGTGGTACTCTTGCGCGGCGTCGGCGCGCTTCTGCTCGTGGTTCACTCCCAAACCTGGGGCTCTTGGCACGAGAACTGCGAAGACGTGCTTCAAGTGTTGTCATTGCCAATATCCCTATCAACATTACCATCCGTGTCATGGTCTACATAACAAATCACCTGCAGTCACTGCAGGCTTTCAAGAAGAAGAAGAAGAAGAAGAAGAAGGAAGAACAAAACAACGTGCGGGGTCGCTGGTCGAGCTGCCATGGCCAATCTCGTGGACCATGCTTCCCTTGTGGCTCAGAGTCTTGCACCAGCCCAGGTTGATCTTGTGAAATGAGCTCGGCCGCCCCAAATACGCCCAACAGCTGCCGGTGTCGTAAATCCCCACGAGGATGTAGGGGTACCTTGGTTCGAAATGGGGAAATCTGCAACCCTTGCTGCAGCAATTAGTGGGGAAGATCTGTAAGGGAAACCACTGCATCTGGCAGTGCCACAGGATTTACCCCTCGGGTTCAAAAACAGGGAACTTAACACAGTAACCATGTCTGGTATAAGGAATCCTGAGTTGGACACCATAAAGGGACATCACCATCCATAGAAATATGGCAAAAAGGAAGGATTGGTTTCGAACACGTTACGCAGCTGCGTCGTCCTCCACCACGGCGATGCAGGTGTGCGTGCGCCAGTCGGCCGCTGCTGCACGAAAGGCCTCTTTCCGCGTGTCGTCCACGTCGGTGTCGAACTTGTACCGCACCATCACGTACTCCTCACAGGGTCATGATAGTTCCGGCCCCCCCGAGAAAGAAAAAAACAAACACGATTCCTGGATTGTTTAAAGGAATCCGTTGAGGGCTGCTCCGATTCGACCCAGCCACCATGCGAAAAGTGGTCGGACACAACAAGGGAGCCAAAGGACTCCTACCATTCTTTTTCGTCAAGGCTTGGTCCTTCAACCAACTGTTTTGCGGGAAGAACCCTTCAGGTGGCTCAAAATCAAAACCTGGCATCAAAATTGGTCTTCCCAATGTAGTTCAATAGTCAAAGGAGCTTCTTTATAGCCGATAGCCGCACCTGCCCCCCCAATCCCGAAAATCCCCTTCTTCGCCCGATTTCTCCTGCCACTGCGGCACCATGCCGTCCGGGGCCACAGTCGTGCGCTCAATCCAGGGCCGACCAGCCTGGCACCCGCTCGCGTCGTCGCAGTTCCGCGTCCACATGGGGTCCTCGCCGCTGAAATGGGAGGGGTGTGCCATCGATGTTGCCACAAAATATCACTTTGTGTAGCTCGTGGGCTCCGAGGTAACCTTGAACTGATTGATTAGGGAAACCAGAGAAAGGACCTAGCCGTGGCTCTCTGAAGCCTTGAACATGCTGCTTGCAACTTGTTACATGGCTCAAGGAATGGAAGAGAAAATTGGGGAGCTCCCCATTCAAATGTTGGATGTTGAATAGCTGCAAATAGAAGCCCAAAGGGTAACACTAAATTTATTTTGTGCGGCCCCCTATTTCCAGACCTCTTTCCAGGAAGCGACCTATGGGTGAGCTCTTTTCGACCCCCGGACCCATGCGCTCGTGAACGCGCTTGCCCGGAGATTCGTGGGAGTCGCTGTCGCAGTCCTGGCGCTTCTGCCCCGCTTGGCGCAGCGCGAGCTCTTGGGGAGGCGTGCCGTCCTCCTCCTGCGTGTTGCTGATGCGCTGGCCGGCCACCACGGAGTCCACGTACATGGTGTCCCCCACGTTCCTGGCAAGAAACGCTTCCCGACATGTCCTGACCCCAAAAAATGCTTGAGTTCATCAGAAGCATCTGCCGGGGCTCAGCTCCAGGAGGTGTTCGGGCACGGAGCCGCCGGCCACGAAGGGCCCCAGCCAGCGGTAGACGCGCACGGGGCACGCGTCGTCCGTGAGGCACCCGCTGAGCGGCGCCGGCAGCTCCAGCCCCTTCCGCGGCCGGGGAGCTCCGTCTGCGTCGTCCGACGCCACGCCCCAGACGCCGCGGTTCAGGCGGGTGGCGCCGCAGCGGCACTCGGAGCCCACGAGGCCAAACAAGTCCAGGCCCACGCCCAGGCAGAACTCGAAGCATGTGGCTGGCGTCATCGCGTTCGAGTGCAGCCGG